AGAAGAAGAAGAAGAAGAAGAAGAAGAAGAAGAAGAAGAAGAAGAAGGAGGAGGAGGAAGGGAAGGAGAAGGAGAAGAAAAGAACTGAAGGATATGGGGAGAGTGCCGCCTAGCAGGAGCTGTAGCTTTCCTTAAATGGAATCCACTGACCCCCAGTGACCTGGAAGGGAGGAAGCTGAGGAATAAGTAGACTGACTTCACTCTCCTCCTGCCTCCCAATACCCAGCTGGTGACTTTTTCAGCCAATTCCGATCAGCAGCCAGGAGTTAAGGGAGGCCATTGACATTGCCTGTACAGGTTGACTCCCCGGTGCCCAAGCAGGATGGAGAAAGATGGGGAAAGGTTCTGGATGGATGAGATATCTGGCACAGCCTTCCTTATCAGCTTGGGTCTTATTTGCTGTTCTTTGCCAGGCCACTGCCCACTGAGTGCCCTAGCACTGGTAGGAACCAACACCCCTCTCCATGCAACAAGGCTGCAGGGGCAGCTCTTTTCTTCAAAGACTCTGGTCATACTGTCCTTAGAATTCTGGGTCCCTTAGAATTCTGTAGCCACAGGGATGGTGTGTGGGGAGTTCTGACATAGGAAAGCCAGCCAAAGGTCATGTGGGTAAGCCTCTTAGCCCACCTTCTCAATGAAAGATCAAACTGGAGCGAGGCTCCATTCTCCTCAGTGGTGAAATGCCTGATTTTGATAAAATGGTCCCTAAAGTCTCAGCCCTGAATTTCAGTCTTCGATTATTCTTTTTTTTTAATGTTTATTTATTATTTTGAGGGGGGGGGGAGGGAGGGGCAGAGAGAGAGGGAGACACAGAAACTGAAGCGGGCTCCAGGCTCTGAGCTGTCAGCACAGAGCCCAACGCGGGGCTTGAACTCACAGACAGTGAGCTGAAGTTGGACATTTAACCAACTGAACCACCCAGGCGCCCCCTAAGTCTTCGATTATTCCTAAACCACTAGCATGGCAACAGGAATGAACCGTGTGTGTGTGTGTGTGTGTGTGTGTGTGTGTGTGTGTGTACCGGGCCACAATTTTGCCTCAGACACATCCCCTCTGCCTCAATC